GTCCTGGTGGCTGGTTGGCAGATTAGTCCTCAACTGTAAAGCTCTTTACATTTCATTTCAAATTAAGTTCATGAAAAGCGACGGAAACGTTATTTTAAAATATATTCATTGCATACGCTTCTGGTAAAAGCGATTAATTACGCGGTACTGAATAGTGATTCTTGAAATAATTTTAAAATATTTATCCGTTTTTAAACAGTGCAGGGAATATTATTATTCAATTTAATGAAAATCACATACAATTTATTATTGTCGAACTTGTTTGATGCGCTGTTTCTTTTGGGATTTCAAATGTGTTCTTTCAGTACTGTCCGACGTAAAGTTAAAGTTATCGCGCTATAAACTAGGGTCAAAGTTGGCAGGCGATCGATAGTCAGGTTTACTTATCCATGGACGCATGGGGCCGGACACATCGCGTGCTACCTTTAATACAAAAATATCGATTTTTCCACAAAGCCGCGTCACCGCAATCAATATGCCTTTCCGCCCCATGCCTAATTACGCCCACCTACATCAGTCAAACATCCGTTAAAAGCCCCGTAATCACCCCGCCGTTGAAATAGGTACCGTTGAATGTCTGAAAAACAGCGCATACTGAATCATTCAAAGTGCACAGGAAAACGCTTCATTGTAAACGTTTTATTTAATTTTCCCTCCATTTACTTTTTTATAATTTCTGCCGGGCATAAAAAACGATCCGCCGCCGCAGGAAGCACGCACACAGCAGCGGTATGTTGTATCTGGATGCACACACGGATGAAAACACCTGTCTCGGGAACGAAAGGTGTGCTTGTGCGTGAGGGAAAGAGATGTATATATGCGATGTTATGTTGTGGGAAAAAGAGATGCTGATGCGCGCGCAAAGAGTTGGCACGCCCGCCGCGCGTCCCGCTCGCTCATGAGCCCGCCTGAGAATTAAACATACCTATAAAGCAAACTCGGCGCTATTTTTCAGCACATTTTCAAAATATAGCACTTTCGTATGCTTAACTTTTGGCTTACACAGTGAATATTTCTTACAAATTACATGTTATATATTATAGCCTAACCTTATATTTTTATGATGTCATATGTTTATTTACTAATTGAAATATTCATGTTATTATTGACACTTTTTACTTTTTAATTTTATGTAAATTCATGTAATATTTTCCATGAAGAAAAAACATTCAAAAGTATAAAATATAAGGAACACAAAAGCTAATTAAAAATTTAAACAATGTAGCTTGTAAAAAAAACTAGTAAGAAGTGATTAACACAAACATTAATCAGCGCTTAAAACAGCGGCCTGAATAGTACAGCAGCGCTGTTTTTGTCGAAGAGTGGTGAGTCGAGCTCGAAAATCGTCAGTTAGTCTACCGTGTGCAAAGGTTGTGGTCGTATGTGCCTACCTTTGCTCCGTCGCGGCCGACAGTGTCCGTAACTGGTATTCGGAAAATTGTGCATGTGCGTTTTCCGACGAAAGCAGTGTGTGTGCTTGTGATATGTGCTATTGTTTTCTAGGTAACGGAGGTTTTTTGAAAAAGGCAGCTCGATGTTGTATTCGCAATATAAAATCTAAGTTATTGTTAGCTTTACTTGTTTCGCGTGGAAAATAAACAAAAGTTTATTTTTGTTATAGATTGTGCTTCTGCAAACAAATATCCATTGAAACGGGCATGTAGTATGAAAGCCCGCTATTCTTTTACTGGATACATACTAATTTATGATCCGTTAATTGTTCGCGCCGCTTAGATAAGCATAACAAACGCTCTATATCTACAGCTGTAGTCTGTACTGTATCAAACATGTTTGAAATTACTTCATACGTAGCAAACTATTTCACGAAAACCTATTTATAACGTTAATGAGCCAAGGGATAAAGTCCAAAGTAAAAAATTACGAATAATGTGTAATTTTTTACTTTGGACGTACCAGTGTACGAGAAAAACGAATAAGAAAATAAATACACTGGTAATTAAGTTAAACACTAAGATTGTTTCATGTAACAATACATGTATCATGATGTAATTTCTTTAATTATAGCGTCAATATTGTAGAAATATCGGTTTCACATAATATTGTGAAAGAAATTCCTTAATACCAGAACAGTTAGTATCGCATGTTGCATTGAACTAACTCATTTTTAATGCTCTAATAAATTAAACCACATTCATATAAAATACGTAATTATATATTTCTTATAGGTATAATTGTAATTGGTTAGTGCTTCTCTGGTTCTGCCATAATTTTCCTTGGTTTAATTATATCAACACATTATCAAGTATTTCGTTTACATGTAAAATACATTTGGTTCGATTCCTGGAAATGCTTCTAAGCCAATAAACGAAAGCAGAAAAAGTACTGTTGTTGTTATTTGCAAATCATATTATTAATCTATCAGAAAATTATTAGACGACAAGGTAGATGAAATATTTATTTTTTTGGAAAATGTATTTCTACGAATATGTACTTAGAAATCAAGTTCTTCTTTGTATGAGCAGATGTATTGACTAATTGAAGTTAATTGACAAGAATGACCTTAAGAATGCCGGTGTGATTATTAAATTTAACTGCTCATGTTAAGAGGTTAATCGAATTAGATTCACATTCTGAATGGGGGAATATAAACGCTTATGAGCGTAGAGAAAATAATTTGTCTGATATGGGAGTATTATAGGCATTACGAAAATATTAATTAAACCCGTATTTATAGTTTTAAATCCAAATTTAATGCCATTTAAATAGGTTCGTTACTATGAACGCGTAGTAAGTAAAAAACCTAATAAGTAATCTATCTCTATTGCCTTCATATTTTTGCTTGCTAATGCAAACAAAACTCCTTTATAAACTTAATATCTATTTACTTTATTGTATACGTAGTTTTAAGTTATATTTTTTATGTTAGTTATATATAACTAATAGGTTCTAATTTATTTCGTCTTTATGCAAAGTTATAGATTTTTTGGTTTACGAAATAAGCATCAAATTGCTATTTACTATCGAAAAATTGGACATTAACCTTTTTACATTTAAAAAAGGAAAATTTCTCTGTTGTATTATCAAAGAAGTTTAAAACTATTGAAAAAGAATAAGCGATACATACGTCTCGTACTACACTTATTGCGGATAAGACTATGCAATTGAAAACAATACAATGCTATTGTTCTTTTCAATCAAGAGAGTACTTTTCGCTTTATATTCGTTTCATTGTTTTTTTATTACCCTGTTGCTAGAATATATTTAAAAAAAAGTAGGTACTTAATAGGAGCAATCATGATTGTTGTAATCGGTTTGATAAGGAAAATCAAAAGAGTTGTATATTTCATTACTTATATAGAATTATAATTTTATAAGTTCCAGTTAGAAATTCCACAGCGTCCAAAACAACATGTCCGTGACGTTTAGTGCTAATTACCGCCAAAATGTAAAAACGATGACTATAACTTGAGTTTCGCTCGCGCGTAAGTTACATTATAAGTTAAAAATGCTTTCATTATAACTTAAATTCTTTTATCTATAGAAAGAATTCCCATTATAAATGCTAACCACCAAATTATAAAGATTTTATCTTAGATTTAGACTCTGCCGTAATGAATCAGGACAAGTAGAATGTTTCTAAATACCTGTCGTATATGACAGTACATACAGAACACATCGTGTTATTGCGTAAATAGTTTGATATAGAGCCAGCAATATCCACAGAACATTACAGTAAATCATATTTTTTGTTACGTCTCGATTATTCTTTCCGTTCCACGTCTATTATTATAGTTTTTGTTGTCAATCCGTTCTTGTATTCGTTGGCGTAATTACCGAGGCGAGCCCGAATACTCACTTGTACCAAGGCCCGCTATTGTGCCTGTCGTTGCGTCACAAGACCACGCCATGAGAGGGACTAATAGCGGCTTGTTAAATTAATTGCTGGTATTTTGATCTAGATAAATGTTACGTGCATTTTAAGAACGTCGCCTAGAAACTAAGAAATTGTAATCTATTAAAGGTTTGGGTACGACAGATTTAAAAAAAAGCATAAATCGAGTTTCTTTATAAGAGTTCCGCTATACGATTCTTGTTAGGAAAATGTTTTAGTACCTTAGAGCAATATGCTAATAATTTTTAGCAACGGTACTAAATGTAATATGTTTCTTAGTTACCTATAAAACAGGATTCGTATAAATGGATTTGTTCCTAAAATATAACGTAAAATGTCACATTGTTTGCACATTCAAAGATATGGATCACCCGTGATACGATTCAGACTGTCAATCTGTTTTGGTCGTTTTGCAAAACGTTCCGATTGATTTGCAATAAAAAATAATTCTGTCACGCTTTCTTTGACTCGATAGTTTCACAATGTCGTTGAAATTTTAATTAAGTTTCTGTTTTTAAATATGGACTTAGAAATAATTAGATTCATTATTGTATTAATGGAACCCTATATCTCTATGTGCAGAGTGGATGATTGCAGATATATTATGCAGTTTTCGGTAAGAGATATATTCTTAATTTAATCAGTGAATTAGATAAAGTGTTAAATAAAACACTTCGAGGTGAGAGCCAAGGAAAGGCCAAATAGTGTTAATTTTTTTATTTCATGTTAACGAATGAAATGTATCGCTATGTAAAAATTAGAAACGCTGATTACTCTAGGATGACTGCAATTTCCGGCGAATATAAATATTTGTGGCAATAAAAATCTATTTAAGCTATTAATAAAATAGACGACGGCTTGTTTTTATGTATAACACGAGTATTAGTATATTCGAGAATTAAATGCGCTGTGTCATATGACTAGTAGTAACACATAATTTGTTTTAACTATTTTTTTTCCATCAACTTAAGGGCTTTAAATAAAACTAAACTAGTATACTCAGATCATAAGGGTTGTTTTAAAAAGATGGCTTATTAGTAATAAGACCATCCTTGCCCGCCTAAGAATTTAATTATCTAATCATAGAGTGTTGTCACGCAATGTAAAAAATCATCCAAAGGAAATATGGCGGTGTAAAAAACAGCTGATGTCATTCGCAACGGCTAGAAACAGGTGGTCGTGGGTGTTCTGTCTCGTCCCAAGTGGGTAAATAGGCCCAATTTAGGACAAAAAGCCCCGGCTGGCCTGATTCAACACTTCGTTGTGGCAATTAGATTCAATTTGCGGCTCGCTCTACCTAGAACAAAAGTTCATTTCATTTGTAATTAGTAGTACAATGATGAAACTGCTAGAAAGTGTTAAGTGCTATTTGCTATGTATGGAAACTTACGTTTTCTCTTAATATTCGCATTTTTGCCTACGACTGTGCTAAAAAGAAAGTCGACTTAATGGAATGCTTAATTTGTAGTAGTATTTTTGATTAATTGAACACAGAATTGGATAATAATGATGTTTTGTATTATTTTATTTATAATGCATTGCGTCAATTTCAATTAGCTAACGTCTAAACTTTTTGTCAATATTACTAAATACAATAACTAAATGTTAGTAAAACGATGTAAGATGAAATCGTAAAATACATCTTATGGCAAGACAACTACAGAACATATACGACAAATCAAATATTGAAACAATCTTGAAAATGGTTATATGGACCTAGTCTACATACTCACACATCTATATGTATTACAATTATGTTGGCTCTACAATAGAGTTTATTCCAGTCGAATTTCATTACGTGAATGGTTCTATTGGTTGTCGGCCGGCATTGTTAATTAAACTGCTTTGTTTGTTAGCCACATTTATGGAATAACAGTTCAGAGTGAACTCTGTATTCGCATTTCATGTTTTTATATAAAACAAACGTTTTGCATATGAGCAATACCTAGTATTGATAGGTATAATTTAGGCTTTTGTTTATATTTTTCTACTACTATTGCAATGGGATTCAAAAGATATAACGTTTTTCTTTTAATACTATGACAAAGATAACATATGTCAGGAGTAAACCTAGCAACCTTAATATGATCACCGTGATACGGGACATCTCTTGTTTTGACTCTGTCTAATACACCACTAAGAGGTGATACACAAGTTTTGAATGAAAAAATCACAATGCTCTAGTGAGCTTTGTAAAGGCACAAGGCCTTACACAACATCAGCCAAGGGCCCACTTAAATCTGTAAAAGAAATCTGTTTTCCAATTTCGGCTACATTAAGTACTCGAATCCCTTTGACTATCTTTCTTCAAAATAACCCGCGGAACTATTTCTTTGTACCCAACCGCATAGTTTTCGAATTAAACTTGTTGGTTTAGGACGCTCTCCTCATACTTGGAGATTGTTTCATAGAGAAGGTATTTATCATAACTGAGAACTATTGTAATATCTTACTTAAATGTTATATGAGGTCCGAAAATACTGAAAGGCCACGAAATTGTAAACTATACTAGCTAATTAAGCAATCTACTTAATATATTTTACATAGTTAAATGGTAGAAGACGGCAAAAAAGACGGCGTACGTCCAAACGGCAACAACTAAGGAATTTCCTGCGGTCTTTTTGCGTAGGTGTCACCAAAGTTGTCACAAATTATTGCTTAAAATAAAAAGAATATATGACAAGTGAATCCACAATCATAGGGCTATCGGGTAAACGAAAACTATTGTGTTTAAGGCTTACACTGCTTCGTAAAAAACATCGTTTAATTGACTGACGGCTCTAATTGAAATTCTAATCTATTGAAATTAGTATGACTAGTTTTTAAAAGTCATGTGTGAAGCGTAAATAAAATATAAATGCCAGTAAATAGCGTAACGTTCTAGTTTTTGCAGGCGTTAAAGTGGTTTTTTTTGAAAGTGATAATAACATTCAAGGTTGCGCGTACTGCGCACGAGAATTTAGTCTAACGTTCATTAGACATGTAAGCCTAAAGCTAAAGCATGAATCATATTAAATGTAATGTACATTTGCCATATATAACTAAAACAGACTAAATATATACTGTTTGAAAGTATTCATTTGTTTCCTAAACTGACATTACGCTGTGAAAAAATCGGAGTGCTTCTAATAAAACGAGTGTTGAGTATTTATCTATATTTCTTGTTTGAGCTCTCAATTTCCAAGTAGTATACAGCTTTTAGTGAGACATCCAAAATTTAAAAGTATTAAAAAGAAAAGTCGGTAATAGAAGTGTTGTTAAATAAATTGATGATATATTGGAAGAGTTATAAGACTCAATAAATCAAAGCGTCGTCGAAGCTCCGTTCCCGGGGACTTATAATAGATGAAACGCAGGCTTCGTACTTCCGTAGCCTGCAGCTTATTTACAAATCACCTCGGTATAAAACGCAAAGAGACTTTAAGATTATTTGAAAATAGAATTTTATTTTTAGTTCTGAATGTGAATTCGTTTTATTCACTAGAACTGTAGAACTTAAGTCGTATAAAATGACACATATTAAAAAAAGTGGCTCTTTATTTTAACTATTGAATTTCTTATCAAGTAAATGTACAATATAAGGAGCTAAATGACGTCAGAGCTCGTTTATTGATGCTATTAAAATGATAGGAAAACGTGTTTGTAATTAATTGTCGTAGGCAGTCATTAACGCGTTTGTAGACAATGAGCAAGTAACCATATTTCGTTGAATTAAATTCTATTACATTTTTGGCTATACTAATATATTTGGCTATACTTTGGCCTTCCGTATGGATGACTAGATGAATAGATATAAAAATTACAGAAGTATCCTAAAAAATAAAACAGACTTGAACCAAAGGTAAAAAAATAAGGTCAATCATGATAGATCTAATTATTTGATGATCGGATTTAACGTTTCATATAGCTTTTACACATATTAATTTGATTTCTATGACAACAATTAAATGTATGTAAAATCTAAATACACGTTATATATTGGTAAAAAACTAGAGCTTTTTTGACCCAACACTGAGTCATGACGCAAAAAGCTGTGGCCTTGAATATGATCAAATTCAGTCGTGATTTTTATATTGATTGTCATTAATAGATTTGCAATGAAAGTCCTCTTTGACAACTTAAATTTAAATAAGAATAATGTATAAAAATTAATTGTGCTTATTACGCCATTCTACCAATACCACTGTTCTGTCTCTATACATAACATTGTTAACACAACGAGGGAGTAATAAAGTGTGTTCACGTGTCTAAAATATGGTGCATTTTTACATAACAACTAGTGGAGCCCACAGACGTTGTCCTGCATGATATTTAAAGCGATTAGGATATTAAGCAAAGTATGAAAGTACCGACTGCAGTGCCATCTGCCGGGCTGATTTGTGAATCTAAACCATTCCCAGATCCCCTTGAACACACACAAAAAATTTCATCAAAATCGGTCCAGTCGTTTGAGAGAAGTTCAGTCACATACACACGCACACAAGAAATATATATATATTAAGATAATATATTAACTTAAGTCAATACTAAAATATTTTAAAGGACAAAAATTGTGTAGGTTACAATATTAAATTGCACCATCGCCAGTGTGACAATTGACTTTTAATTGAGTCCAAACATGTCAAAATAAATTAATAAAAATATTTGCTGTTTCAATAAACGGACATTACTTTGGGTACTTCACAAAACTCTAATAATATAATACTAGTTAATTGAAATCAGGATCGTGTTTTATCTTATCCTAGTGAATTAGCCAGTAGCAGAAGTTAATCCAGTGATGTCACCGTTTCGCTCTTTAATTTAGATAATTCTAGGTGTTTATTGCGATGACTAACACAGTAAATGGCGGTCTGACACCCACATGCACACTGTGACAAAGTAAAAATAACATTATTTAGCAAAATTTTAGTGTTTAGGGCTCCGTATTGGTAATGTTACCATTTGAAAGCCTATTTATCTTTATGATATTGATAATTAGTTTTTAGCTGTGATTACTTTTTATTAATGTAATTTTTATCGAGCTGCCTTTAATTAAAGATGAAATATTTTCTGTTTAAAGAGTATTACTTTAACAACGGGTTTTCTTTCCAGGATCGCTTTACAAGTGGAATATTGGAACGAATGAGATCGAAAGTGAAGAGCTGAACGAGAAGTTCGTAGGCGCGTCGCAATAGATTTTTTGGAGCCACTGTGCACCTCGGTCAGTGCTTGCCAGAGTCCCGCGACTCGGCCGGCACGCCCCGCCTCCGCCGTGGATAACCTCGGCCAGAGCCCCCTCCCGGTCAAGAGGCTGCACGAAGCGCTTCAGACCGCGCAAGCGAAGCGTCAGCGTCTCTCCCCCCCTTATCCAACCGCGCCTCCCGCCATTCACCCCATACATCAACTTGCGGTGCAGCAGCACATCAAAGTGCAGCAAAGCATCGCGCAACAGCATCAACTGAATCTGGCCCATCAGTCGCTACAAAACCTGCAGAACCTCCAGGCGGCGCAGAGCCCAGTGGGGTCGGGTGGCGCAGGAGCGCAGTCGGCGGGAGGAGCGAATCAGGGCGCGCTGGTGCCGCCGCAGCAGCCATCGCCGCGGGCCGCTTCTCCGCATCATAAGAACATGGAGCTCGCCCTGTGCCAGAGCATGGACTCCGTGAATACGGCTACTACAGAGGAAGAGGTATGCAGTGGCGTTTATTATTTTAAATAGATACTTAATAAAATCTTAATAGGTTTGATTCACACGTAAAGGCAGCCAGACAAGTTGGCATGTTTTCTCCAAAAGTCTAGCTTGCATATTTCTCTAGGAAATTTTTTTCATTCAACTTTCAGATGGTCATGATTTAACAATAGAAACTATAATGGCTCTGAAGTTGCATCGCAGAGGACTTAATGTATCGCTTTAGCAATTTGTCATCGAACAATTGTTAAGTAATAGCTTAGAGGCGCGGCGCCGTACCCCGTTTCAATAGGAAAACGTTCAGATATACAATAAGCATTCACTAACACAATAAAAGGAAATTCATCGCGACTGGCTGCTACTGGAAAGCGTAACATTATTCACAGTCACAGCTATTGTAATATATTAGCTCTTATTGCAACAATTGTGGTTAAATCGACTGAAATGTTTATCGATATTTGGTGCTATCGAAACATGTCTAACTGATCATTAAAATTATTTGTGAAGTCGGTAATGAAGTTTAAGTATCCTTACAACGGCGTGTGTAACGCGTCTGAAGTAATAGTGCATCTCTTTGATGTGAACTCATGCACTAAGCAAGGGGTGAGATTATGGGCAAGAGCCTTTGGCTCATGGATGCAATCATTCAAGCGACTACATTGCTATGTATACTAAGTTGAGCCGCTCGGGACTTGTCCTTTATTCATATTAGGTTATATTAGCCTTGCACGTTTCCATCGCTTAGAACGCGCACAAAGTTTGTGCATGTCATAGTAGCGAATTTAATGAATACTTGAGTTTATGACTTGCTGAATTTCTTATATTACAATGTCACAAATTTGACACGCGATTTCGACAGGTAATTTAAGATATTCATATATTATAGTGATCCAGTGAATCTCTTATATTTATAAAAACCCTGGATGTAAGTTACTACATATATTAGAAACGCTCTTAGGATCTCGGATCTTTGCAAACGAGGTTTGAAAACGTTGACACTCTTATTTGTTTTTATTCTATTACTAGCTGAACCCTGCCACGCTTCGCTATATATATATATATATATTGTGATTGAATGGTTGAGAAATGAGAAACAAAACAAAGAATACATTTCATAAAAGTTTTATTTTGCAATACTTGTGGAAAAAAATTAAAAAAGAACAAAAAAACGAATGATAAAAAAACTAGATAAAACAATCCTATGCTAAAATTTCAGTTTTTGAAGCGTACACAAACCAACATTACATTTACGAGTTTATATATAGATTAATAAGAACAAAATGATTAGACTTTTTTATCAGTCAGGAAGAACTTTTTGAACTAGTTCTTTAGTATAGACTAGAGACTTAAGACTACAAAATTACTTACGGTCATTTAAAACTTAGTAATAACTAATTTAACGCCGGTTTATCATCACATAATTCATCGTCAAGCTTATCATTGTCACAAGTTATTCGTGTGTGAACAATAGTGGGAGCCAAAACCCCGCTTAAAGCCGCGACGGACATAAATTATACATATTTAAAGTCTAGACTAAACATATGCGAATACAGTTTGAATAACAAAGTGTGGGCCACAATATTAATGTTTCATACCTGTCACTTCTCGGATACAACTTAATTGCGCAGTATAATTACCGCACTGATTAAAACCCTAGGTCACATGTATACAGTTGTAGAAGTTTGTTCTTACTCGTTATTCCTAAATCGTATCTTGCTTTTAAGCTATGGATAGTAATCATAAAAAAAATCAATGGCGCTACAACTTTGTTAGGCCTGGGCTTCAGATTTCTGTATCTGTTTAATGATCATTTGTTAATCTAATAGGAAAGTAGGTGATCAGCCTTTTGTGCCTGACGCACGCCGTTAACTTTTTGGGTCTAAGGCCAGCTGGTTTCCTCACGATGTTTTCCTTCACAAGCGAATGTTAAATCCATTGGTTCACAGCCGGGGATCGGAACCTCGAACTCAGGGATGAGAGTCCCATGCTGAAGCCACTAGGCCAACACTGCTTGATAATAATCATAAGTAGGATATTTTGTTTTATTTGTTCTTTTATGACATTTTTACGGGTCTAGTTTCTGTGAAGACATTCAAAAAACTTGCAATGCAAATTTAATAAAAACATATTTTTTTTACGAATTACAGTTATAAACTGTAAATATATTTTGTAATGTATATGAGGCCTAAAAGCGAGTTTTAAGTATGTTAATATAACTTAACACACTTATTTGTAAAGTATGTGTAACTTATCGAAAATATTTGTACATATAGACTAATTCCGTCTCGCACCTTACTTCCTTATTACAACATATTATTTTGTTATAAACGTTGTTAATCTTATACGAAAATAAGCTCTGAATAGGACCCATATTTTTACATCTACGTTGTCAACTTATTTATTTTAAACAATTGTTCAATATTATACGTAAATAAAGATTGTTTAGACTGTGTTCTTATAAGGACGTTAGAAGTTCTTAGTAAAAGGAAAATAGCGTTAACTGAGGAACGCCTATTATAATTGATAATAAATATAATTTAAATGCATTGTGGAATTTATGGTTATTCTAATTAATTAAAATGTATGGTTTTATGTCGAGTCAGCTGGTAATTTAAAAGCTAAATTGGTTTTGGATTTGAACAAATTGGCTAGGTTAATTGAAAAGTACCTACGTAAACTAAATTTTAGTTTGCGGAGAAAAACGTTGCGATATTTGGAAATGAGATTTATTTACGAGTATTAATTTATTATTGCTTTACTTTTACAATTATATAAATTCTTAAATAGTTTTTATTAACAAAAACTGTTTTAGTTATCTTACTCTAGGTCTATTATAATGTATTTAAGCTAATTGCTTTGCCAACCTAAGTACGTGCGCAGAACAGGTGCAAAAGTAAATTATAAGAATTAATTCAATAATAAATACCACATGTAACAAGGAAAAGAATAGCTCAATTCACCTATGAACATCAAATTAACATTTTTAATGTATAAAAATATGTACTTAATCAGCAGTAGTGGTAAAGAACTCGTTACGTTGAGGCGCTAATACCCGTTTATATTTAAATACGTAAACCAGAGGCAATAACTTGCAATATGTAGTAAATATTTTTTTGACTCTTATGTAACAGTAGAGCATGCAGATCCCAATACATATTTTGTAAAAAGTTTTTGTAGTTAGTAATAGCTATGGTATAAGTTATAAGTCGGTTGGAAGGACGAGGTACCAACGTCGGGCGACGGGGTAGATGGCGCCGACGAGTCTGGCGCCGGCCACGTCTGTCTGTTTCACTTATACTTTATATTCCTTACAGCTTTTATGTTTTTTCAGCTCTTTGTATGAGCGATATTTCAGCGCTGTTTTCCGACTGAATAGGTTTCTCGTCTGAAAGGCCTTCATCTACGATTATATTGTCATCTTTTTTAAAATAGAATGTTAATATAGGCATCTGACGTTCTGATTTTAAAATGGAAATTTTCCTCGTATTCTTACTTTGAGATTAAATTACACAAAGATGATTCACATTTCCTAAATTATTCAACGCATTTGCAGCTTACTTGGTAACGCACAGTTCTTAATCCATAGGATTGATATGCCTAGGGCTGTATATTAGACATAAAATGTGTCTAGCCTATATCGCAGCAGATTTTATAATACACATGCAGTTTCTTAAAAACAAAAATGTTTAGAAACTTTTTATAAAGTCAAATAGTTAATTAGGTCAACTCTTGATGTTATGTCAACTATATTTAATACTTCCGCATTTATGTCCAGCAATTTGTCCGCTTAGATAACTGGATTTACTCCTTATAAACAGAACTAAAGCAATATATCGACGGTGAAACCTGAATAACTTGTAGTTCTAGTTTTTATAAAATTCTCCGTTGAAAGGGAAAATACCTGTTTATCTTTTTAAAAGGAAATGCTTATCTAACAATTACTAATTAGCGAGGGAAGTAGTTTTGTAGCAATTATTATTATCAATGTTACCGTAATTTGACTATTATGACGTAGGTACATTGTCAAATATATTTTTTATAAAAAAAATGTATGGTAGCCTAGACTCGTTGGAAGATCGGTCTACAGATTTGCATCGTCCAAGTATCAGTGGGCACGCGAAGACTCACTTGTAAGATTTCCTGAAACCTTGTCTAACTCGTACAAATAAATATATTAATACTTCCATTAAGAACGGCTACAGATAAATTACAATGATGCATAATATAATTGGCAATTGATATTTATATGGTATTTTCATGATAATGTCCTCTACTATTTGGTAATCGTATCGCATTTTTAACCTGTCAAATTACAAACATAACTATGTAGTTGTTTTGATCGAGACTAAAATATTGTATAACATCTTAGGTTTCCAATAAGGTTCTAGTTACTTGCGGTATTATTACAAGTTTCTCTTTACATGTGACTGATTACGTTATATTTTATAGTTTGCAAATATGTATTATGATGTTCTCATTATTTATTTATCAAAACGCAAATATCATATTCACTCGGAAATTGCAGGAACTTGCTGAACTCTACGAACCAAAAATTAAATATTATTCACATTGTTGACCGTAGAATTTAAATAATACGTGGGGCGAATGCAAGTTCCTATTGAAATTGAAGTGGAAATTATTAGCTCACTTGTGGTGCACTAAAACGTTTTAAGAGAATTCACATCGAGTAGAATATAGACACCTCAACCGCTTCAACAGTTTGTCCACCTAATTTGTTCGTCGGCGCTCGACTGTAAAAACAAATAGCTCCCGCATTTCCCTCTCCGAGTGACAGAGACAGACTCTTCACTGATAAAAGGAGAAAAAGGAAAGATAGTTTTGCAGGTTTCAGCTTGAATGAACGATTGCCGTTTACGTTCCAGCTTTTGTCTAGTTGGAATCTTGTTTGTCTGACGTTATAAAGAGGTTCCTTTGTAATAATTAATCTAACGTTGGTCGGTTTGGGTTACTCGTGAAGAAGTTTTAATTGAATTTGTTGGTCGATTTTGGCTTTTTGAGGAGAGCGTGTT